TAATATATATCTATCTTAGTTATTTATATAATAGTACTTATTCTTTAATATCTTTAAGTAAGTATTTTATCTTATACTGTATATTCTTCCTGACTTTTTATAGTTAAGAAAATTAATAAGGAGTTATTCTATCTAGAGGATAAGGAATCTAAGGTAGAGGTAGAATTAGTAGTAGTATTTATATAAATTTCCAGGCTATATAAAATATAAAAATAGCTTTATAAGAAGGGTATAGAGATACTAAAGAAAGGGTTAGATAATATAGAGGAGTTAGAAGAGGAGGAATAGAAAGAGATAGAAGAGAAAAATTATTAGAAAGAACTGAAGTAGATATAGATTTAGGAAGCTGAGCTTACCTTCTAAGTTCAGATATTATATACTATATAGGCAGTTGATTTTTCTAGTTTTTCCTTTAATTCTTTTATAGAGGATCTCTTTAGTAGTATTACTTAAGATAAGATTATTAATCCTTTCTCTTCTTCTAGTAGTACTAGTATATTAAATATTAGTACTTCTTTAGATATTTAACTGGTTTCTATATATTATTACTTTTATTATAATCTTTCTATTTTATTAAATAAAATATTTATCTATTTTTAATCTTTTTATTTAGTATCTTCTAAGGTTTAAATTCTTCCTTATAGATTTTAATTAGATAGTTTTAATTTAGTATATTTTTTAGTACTTTTTCTAATAATAAGATATAAAAAACTAGGTAGATATATATTATATCTAGTAATAAGAGTTTATAGTTAGTATCTAATTTTTTCTTAATAATCTTAAATAATCTAAGTTTTTTATAGTCTAATTTATTACTTAGCCTTATTATTATAATATTTTTCCGAAGTAGATAGACCTTATTTTTCTCCTTTAAGATTAGTCCTTTTAATCTGGTTTTATTATAATATTTTTTTATTTTTTATTAAATAAATTCTAATTCTATTTTTATTTCTATATATAATAAATATAATATTTCTTTTATAAGTATAGTAGCTAGTATATTTAGTCTATTAAGTTCTAATTAATTCTGAAATTATAGTTTATAACTATAATTTATATATATAGGTATAAGCTGGGTTAATTCTTATACTAAGCTATTATATATAATCTACGCTATAGGTAATAGTTATATCTAATTATCTTATTTATAATTAATATATACTTATAGGTATTATTCTAGAGTTTAGTTTAATTATTCTATTTAACTATTACTTTATAGGTAGTAAGCTATTAAAAGTTTATATTTAGTATCTATTTATACTATAAGTAATTATTAAAATTTAGAGGTA